GCGAGGACGACGCGAGTCGCATCGCGTATTAATTATAAAAGGCGCATTGAAGCGGAACCAGCGCGAGCCACGCGGCACTTAACCGGGGACCCATGCAGTTTTTATTCATTAATACGAGCTATTCGCTCTCCTCGCCACGCGTCTCGCGATCCTCGCCGCCTCCCCTCCTCGCGTCGCATCCGCCGCAGCTATTGGGTTCCACGCTGGATGAATATCACCTTGAAGTAATTACCGGGTTCCGAGCTGCAACCTTATCCTGCTCAATCGAATTACGGCTCCAGTTTTCGTACGCCGGGATTAATCGATCCGCCGTACGATCGGCTCCGAGTTCCCCGGGAAAATAAATTAAAATCGAGGTGAAGCAAATTCTCCGTAATCGACGCTCGGATTGCGCACAAAAGCGGACAATTTGGAAAGAGCAGACACGATTGTTCGATCGTGAACAACTACAGGATGTCCCAAAAATGTCTCGCAATCCGAAAGGGGCGGGTTCCTCGGGTCATTCGAAGCAACGTTTTCCTTTACAAAAATTTTCTCCGAGGCACCGTTAACGAGTTATTAACGAAAAACAGTGACCAATGAGAGGCGAGCTCGGCTGGCGCGAGGCGACCGAGCCGATGAGCGGAACTAGGCTTCGCGCGCTGGTTGGCTGGGCCGCCTCGCGTCAGCCGTACTCGATTCTTATTGGTCACTGTTTTTTCGTTAATAACTCGTTAACGGTGCCTCGGAGAACATTTTTGTAATGGAAGAAGATGCTTCAAATGATCCGAGGAACCCGCCATTTCCGGATTGCGAGACACATTTTTGGGTATAACAAATTTTGGTATAAAAAGAGAGACGCGAATTGCTCTCTCCAAATTGTCCATTTATGCGCGCAATCTGAACGCGAATTAGGGAGAAATATCGTATAATATCGCGTATATCTATCTTTAAAGCTAGAGGCGAAAATATCGCTGCATCCTTCGTGGCGCGGACTAATTTACTGAGACGCGTGCCGCGGATCGATTCACCCGACACGGAACTAGAAGTAGCCAGGGCGTACACCTGTGTCTAGGCTAACGTTACTCACGGATTCGTTCGCATGATTCGATACGCAAGTCTTCTGTTTGCTGCTCGGGTTGCAGCGATAACTCGCGACCGATAATTAGCCTGCGGATTTCCTTGCGGTTGGGCCGCCTGTAAAATATTGCGAGTTGCGAACTGCATTTAGAGGCGGCTTCGATTTATTCGCACTGCCGTCAGAGATTCTCTAATTAGCTCGATATAGTGTTTCTTTGGTCTGCAGCTTAACGCTTTATTTATCAGGAGCATATTATTCAGAGCTGGGCAAAATTTTGTTGGAACAAATACTCGTTCCAATAAGAATTTATTTGTATAGGGATTTATACGGAAAATAATTGATTCGAACAAACAATAATAATTAACCTATTTCTTTCCCACGTCGCTTTTTTAAATTGTTCGATTAAAAAGAATCATTCGAATCAATAGATAAAATAATTTATGACGAATAACGAATTATTCGAGTAAAATATTCGACTAGGAATTTATTCGCATAATTATCTTAGATAAATATTTTAAGTGTCCATGAATAACTGCGAAAGGAGATGTCTGTACCGACTATCGAATCTGCAATCAGAAATCTTCTTCTGAGTCACAGCATTAGAGCTGTTTCCACTTATTTTTCACGCAAAAGATTTTCTGGGATGTTTATTAGCACAAGAAACATGGCTTCGTGTGTAATGTACGTATGTATTTCTATTCGGTAGAATTTCTACAAAAGTGGGATTTCAAAAGTTTCATGTTGGAACGTCTGTTTGATTGATAATCCACGTGAAACTGACGTTCTTGCATTGCGAATTCGCTGCTCGTTACCTTTCGTTCCAGTGAACGGATTAGATAAACATCGTTAATCCATGCTAAGCAGTGTCGAACGAAAAACCTGTCCATTTTCGCTCGCTCTTTTTAGTCATTGTCAGCCAGCTATGATTATGTAATATTTGCTTTTACCTTGCATCGCACTATCACTTTGGAACAACTTTCTGCGCACACCGTCTCCGATCGACGTCGAAAATTTCTTGCCGCAGAAACCGATCTCGGAGAAACGTTCAAACAATTTTTAGCTTTCCAGAAACTGTCGCGTGAATTTATTAAAGAATATCGCGCGTCGATCGCTTCCGACGTTCCCAGTGTCTTCGTTAATTAACTTGCAGCGGATTATCCGTGATCAATTGCGATCGATTCGGATTAGATCGTAGATTATAGACGCGTATCTTTTTAGTTTTACAAACACTGTAGAAGGATTAAACCTTTATCGGTGGTTTATCGAGGGTTTCAACCCTCCAACCATATCTTGTAAAATTTAGCAGAAACAGTAAGTTAAAAAATAGTTTTTATTTTTCTCTGTTTCTCTTTCGGCATTCTTTTTAATTTAATTCTTCGAAACTCTCGCGGTTTGCCGGTTGTAATCGAGTGATCACACCGGAGGGAAAGGATGTGGAAATTACAACGGTTGCAACGATGCTGTGTGCTCGAAAGTGATCAAGGTCTGACCCGCGATGCCACGACTCGACGTTCGCGACAGTCGAGCCAACGCGGGTTTTTTTGAGGTCGAGCGTTTTTCGAAGCAGCTCGAGCTCGCGCTGCCATGCCCTCGGTGAAGGTCTATGCTCGTAATAAAGCACGCGCGATGGGCGACGCGAGGGGCGGACTTTTTTTCGGTGCCCGTTATGCTCGCACGACTTTAACTTGCTCGCGCGCTACCTTTGACTGCTCTTGCTCTCAAACAATCCGCCTAACAAATAAAACTACTCCGCAATTTCATACGGTAAAATCAGAATCTCGCCGGCGTTTAGAGGGTTAATTAACCGCAACCGAATGTGCGAAACGTTTTGCACATTGATCCTTTCCGTGCAAGTAAGTGCACCGAGCATCGCAGTAAATAGAGAGGAACGGATAGTCGCGTTCGAGATCGAAAGTAGGCTCGCGAATCACCAGGATGCTTGTCCACGGTCTTTTTGCCCTCTCTCTCTCTCTCTCTCTCTCTCTCTCTCTCTCTCTCTCTCTCGTTCTCTCTCTGTCTCACTGCCGTACCTTGGATTCCACGCGAACCGCGGAAACGCGTCATCCGGTTGCCAGGATCCAGGCTTTCGAAAACCAGGTCGCGGCTCTCCTGAATCCGGAAGATGGATCTCGCGCTAGATCTCCAGAAAAAGTCTTCCCGGTTTCCCCGCCAATTAGTCGCGACTTTTGTTGGCTCGTCGAAGAGTACACCGGTGGAGGAGGGGGAGGATCTTTGATACGGCCAGAGATAATCTTGACCTTAATCGCGACATCGACGACGCCGAAGCTGTACAACTGGCCCGGTTTATTGCGGAATTCATTATGTGCCGGGATTATGTACTGTAAAGTGTTCATCCCGCCCCGGCGGATCCTGTTTTGGGCTTAGAAGACATTCAGGGACAGTCTTTGATCCTATTTTTTTGACGCCGGCGAAGACACAGAGTCCGGCGAAAGAAAGTTCCTCCTCTTTTCTTTTTCCTCTCTCTCGGTAAATGATGATCCGAAAGTCTCTCTCGGAACTTATGAAATACGAGCCGCGAGTACGTTTCTCAGGCCGATCATTAACCCATTTTCTATTTCTGCATAGTGTGAAATTGTTCGGTTCGGTTCGCTCTTTGTTCGCGGTGCGAGAGACGCGTTTGCTACCTGATTTTATGTTTCACGCAAGGAAAATCATGTTAATTCGATGTGTGCGCGATGTGCTGTCTCGGGCGTACTTGAACGAGACGTTGCGTTTTATAGAATCTAATAAAGAGCAGTGTGAACGGCATCTAATAAAGAGTTGTTCACACTGTGTACAGTGTGAAAACATCTGAAAATTTACGAATATATTTAAATTTAATTCGCAATTTGAACAGCGAGTTGTAACTGCTCCGGTATGCTCGTCGTGACAAAATAATATCGCTGTTTCTTCGTAACGTGTATATGCACTCGTCGAAGACACCTTTTTTCTCCGAAGAAACGATTACGATCGAAAAAGTTCGCAGACAATGTTCTCGAATCTCTCTTTTATCTTCGCATTTTTTTTGTATTTGATTTATCTGTTCTTACCATAAAAGATAAACAGTCCAGTTATAAAGATCGTTGTCTCGAAATAAACGCCAGCAGTGAACACAAAAGATTAAGGGTGATCTTGAAATGCATCCAGTTGCTGATAGCTAAGTACCGCCGTGTCCATAAATCACTCTGGTGCTAATTCGATCACATTGTAATTCAGTTTCGCGATTTAATTGCGTCGCATTTCAATTACATACATAGTAACTCAACTATGTTGCAATACAATTACATAATTCAAGCCTTTCACTTAATTCTACTGCTAATTTTTTCAATCACGAGTGCAATTCAGATACAATGCAATTGAGACACGATGTAATTGCAACGTAATTGAAAGGCGATGCAATTGAAATGCAATGCAATTGGAATACCGTTCTTCAAATTACAGTCTAGAACTTCGAAGAAGTGTTCTTGAGGACATTCTTCTGTTTTTCTTTTGTAGACTCAATTTTTGTCTCTTCTGCATATTTTTTCCTCTTATTACCTATTTTTACTATTATATTTACTAATTTATTATCTTCGAATTCGTAATTTTAAACCATCTATATCGTAGATGGTAATTTGTAATATTAATTTAATTAGTAATCGTAATTTGTAATATTAATTCAATTAGATCATAATTCGTAAATAATATGATCGAATTACTTAATAGTGTTTTGTAATTGCACCCCCTTTACAATTACGAATTACAATGAGATTCTAATCCGATTAAATTTCTTTTCAATTAGAACTTTTCGAGTATTTCAATTGTAATTCTGCAAAACTCTGCCACAAATTGACGTATAGACCCCGGACTACCGATTGGGCGCGTTCAATTTTCCGTCTGTTTTACCAGCACTTCTCTTATTGCTCCATACTAATTGGCCTGTTGTTTTCTGTTGTTGCAGGGTGTCCCAGCTGATGGAAGCGATCGAGAGAGAATGCGGCGTGCTAGCGGTGCACCAGGTGCTCCTGATGAGCGGAGGCGAAACCCTGGAACCGAACGCGCGTGTATGCTCCTACTCGGCCGGAACCGACACGAATCCGATCTATTTGTTCAGCAAGGCCGCCATTGAGAGCCAGGTTCCACCCACGCCGAGCATATATTATGGCACCGGTGAGTGTGGAGCTTCTTCACCTGTGAATATCCTTAGCCTATCGCGGTCTGCTGGCTTTTCTTCTTGCGTTTCCTGTCTACGTTCGTTCGCTCGCTCGCTCGTTCGCCAAGAGAAACAAATAAAATGCACGCGCGCACGTTCGTTCGCCGCGAGGAAGAGCAAACCACGCGTCTCAACGAACTTCGCTAGATTATCATGAAAAGCACAACTTATTCGACAAACTGCTTCACTTGGAAATTTTCTAATAATTTCCCTGGTTTTATGGGTAATTATCGCGTGCCTGGCTTCGTGGTGACGATGTTGAGGATCCGGTGGCCGACGTGGACGCATTTATTCGAATCCTTGCATAGTGATTGCCCTTTGCGCGTTTCTCAAACTACAGCAAAGTCTCCCTTACTGACGCTCAGATTGTCCACTAGAATGGATAATTTGGAAAGATACGATTATTCGAGCCTCGCGGCTCATTTTTATAATTGTGGACAATTTATGACTATAAAAATAAACCGCAAGGCTCGAATAATCGTATCCCCTCTTCCCAAATTGTCCATTNTACCAGCACTTCTCTTATTGCTCCATACTAATTGGCCTGTTGTTTTCTGTTGTTGCAGGGTGTCCCAGCTGATGGAAGCGATCGAGAGAGAATGCGGCGTGCTAGCGGTGCACCAGGTGCTCCTGATGAGCGGAGGCGAAACCCTGGAACCGAACGCGCGTGTATGCTCCTACTCGGCCGGAACCGACACGAATCCGATCTATTTGTTCAGCAAGGCCGCCATTGAGAGCCAGGTTCCACCCACGCCGAGCATATATTATGGCACCGGTGAGTGTGGAGCTTCTTCACCTGTGAATATCCTTAGCCTATCGCGGTCTGCTGGCTTTTCTTCTTGCGTTTCCTGTCTACGTTCGTTCGCTCGCTCGCTCGTTCGCCAAGAGAAACAAATAAAATGCACGCGCGCACGTTCGTTCGCCGCGAGGAAGAGCAAACCACGCGTCTCAACGAACTTCGCTAGATTATCATGAAAAGCACAACTTATTCGACAAACTGCTTCACTTGGAAATTTTCTAATAATTTCCCTGGTTTTATGGGTAATTATCGCGTGCCTGGCTTCGTGGTGACGATGTTGAGGATCCGGTGGCCGACGTGGACGCATTTATTCGAATCCTTGCATAGTGATTGCCCTTTGCGCGTTTCTCAAACTACAGCAAAGTCTCCCTTACTGACGCTCAGATTGTCCACTAGAATGGATAATTTGGAAAGATACGATTATTCGAGCCTCGCGGCTCATTTTTATAATTGTGGACAATTTATGACTATAAAAATAAACCGCAAGGCTCGAATAATCGTATCCCCTCTTCCCAAATTGTCCATTTTTGTGGTCAATCTGGGCGTCAATTAGAGAGACATTACTGTACTTTTTCGATGCGAATTTGCTTATCGAGTTTAGTATAAATAGGATATATTCGTCACAGTGAATTTTCTTCCTCACGTTTTCGAACCCTGCATCTTTCAGATGAACGTTGATCCTCTTTATTCAACCTGACACGAATAGCCAATGATTCAAACTAGTCACCACAGAACTAGGCGTGTTGATCCTCTTCGTTAGACCCAGTACAAATAACTAATGACTTAACCTAGCCGCTAAAAGAACACTCTTACGAATTATCGTCGCGATGTTAACCCACCGTGCAATTCTAACTGGGCCGCGAATTTTATGCATTTAGAGTAAAAGTCGACGAGACACGGAGCAACGGATTTATGAACGTTTTTCCGAATTTATTCACAATTTCTCGGAACTGTTAAAAACGCGAATACATTTTTAGACCGTCTCTTCAGGATATTCGAATTTTGCACGGAGAGATCCGCGATCTATTTCTGACATTCTCATCACCGGTTGAACCAACAAAATCAGAAGCAGCCAGGGAAAAGAAGCTGCTTCGAAACCGCTCCTAAAAGAATAAATCTTTCGACCCACTCGACCGGCATAAAAGAATATCCGCCCGGAGCTATCCCGCAAAAGTTTCGCCGCGTAATATCGGAGCCTCTAAGAACAACGCCGGATTAAACGCGAACGAGCCTTCTCGGAACATCGGTATCCTCGCGTTGTTTCCAGCTAATAATTTTCTTTCCGCCGCGGGACCCGAAGTGCCGGCCGCGTAAAACGTCGTCTCGAGGGACCGCGAGATCAAGCTGTCGTAAAATTTTCGCGGAGTCAAGGGAAACAGCTTTCGCGGGCCTTTTTACGAGCCGGGATCCTTGGACCGCGATGCAACTCTCGCAGTTTGTCGATCGACGGGCGGCGGCGACGACCGCGTCCGAAGCTTCTGTGTCCGTCTTCTTTTCGCGGAATTATCCTCTTTCCGTTGTTTCGCGATCATCATCCTGTTCCCCCTCGGATTCTCGGCTGCCGCCGGTGAACGGCGGCGGGAAGCCTGCGGTCCGCGCGCAACAGATTTTGCATCATAATGCTGCATTTGCATAGCGCGGAACTAAGGAGCAGGCTTACATAACGAATCTATTCGTAGTGATTCGCGAGCTTCGCGTAATCCCGATCATACGCGAACCAGTTCAATTTAGCGGGCGGCCGGTGCAATCGGGCCACTTACTCAATCCGCGTCTTTTTTTAACCCTCGCGGGATCCTCGCCTCGAAATTCGCCCGAATTTCTGTTCTCCGCCGCGGAGTTCCCCGGCTGCTCGCTACCGTGTCGCCGTTTTAACGTGTTCTTGAAATCGCGAGGTTTTTAATCGCGCGTCCTTGGTCGGATGAAAGAGCGTAAACCGAAAATCTCCGCGAGCGAGACAGGATCGATGGTGCAACGATTTTTAAGGGCGCGCGAACGTTGGCACGCCGATTGCCAAACCGACTGTCTAAAAATGTCCGCGAAATGACAGAGCTATTTATTAACAAAGCCGTTCTTGAAGATTCAGTCGGCACACCTCCTCTTTGTCCTTGACAGAGAGAACGTTCCTGCTCGCGCAACAGTTCTCTTCCTCTTCGTTTGCGGAAGATCAAAATTTACTATCGACATCTTGCAACATCCTCGACCATTATTTCAGCCATCCTTAAATACATAAGCTCGCAGAATTTATGCATATTCGTGAAAAGAGATCCAAAGGAACTGGAACCAAACGATATTCAATCTGAAAGCGGAGGAAAGCTTGGAAAAATATGCTGGCGAAAAATCCACGGTCTCGCGAGTTTCTATGGTACCCCATTAGAATTTCATGCACTCATCATTCTGCACTACGTCGTATCGCTTTTAACGATCACACGCGGTGATCAGATAAAAAGAATTGATTATACCACGCACGCCTCTATTAATTAATGTACTTCCCTTATTTTTCAATCTTTATACAATGTGCGCCATCTGCCGGTCTCTTTTTCAAACTGTAACAAAACAGAAATTGTTTAATATTTCTCCAAGTATTTTGCTTTATTAAAGAGAGTAAAAAACCTACGGATTAATTACGAAAAAACGATTGTCACGATCGAATGATCGCCACGACTGGCCGAAGAGCTTCTTTAAAAATGGCACAGCGCACCTACACATGCGTATACACGTTAAACAGGAAAAAGAGGACATTTCATGTGCACCAGCCTAATAAATAATAATAACAAAAATAAAGTATGTTTTACCGTGTGCTATCAGAAGCACAAAATTGCTCGCGATCCTCCGGAAAACGAGACTTTCCGTCGCCTCTGCGGTCCGCAGGGGCGGCCCGCCCTCGGCCCGTTATTTTCCGCGATGACGAAAAATAACCAAACGACCGGCTGACGTCTCCCATTGTGCCCGTTTACGGTACCGTGGAGCCCTCGCGGTCGCCGCCGAAGACAAAGACAACCTTCGCGGCCGGCGTCGCACGGATATCGTTGTCGTCGAGCTGATATCATCTACCTAACTCTCTTTTTTTCTTCCTCTCCCTACCGTTCCGCGCGCCCGCCGATAAGGATCGTTATTAGCTGCGTCCTTCCGGCACGATTCTCGGCTAACGAAGGCACAGCGTAGTGTCGCCGAGACCGCCTCCTCTGCCTCTCTGCTAGCGACCATCTTGTCGGCAGATATTATTTTCGTCACGCACGCGTTTCCTAGCATGATGCTGCGCGCGTGATTCGTGCCGCTTGTAAACGAAGGGCTGGTGCCGTTAGCGGCGAGGATCATACATACGCCTAACCGGCAACCCAGAGCTCTTAGGTAATGTTCACTGTTACACAACGTTCAGCGAGAACGCATCGTGCATTTTATTAGTTTGCGGAAAAAACGAGTGGGAGCCACGGTTATGAATGGCAGAGTTTGGGCATTGTTCGAATAATATTTTATTCGAGTAACGATTCGAATAAAATTGTATTCGAGTAACTATTCGAATAAATTCTTCGAATAAAATTGTATTCGAGTAATGATTCGAATAAATTCTTCGAATAAAATTGTATTCGAGTAACGATTCGAATAAATTCAAAAAATTGTGTTCCAAGAACGATTCGAATAAATCCTTCGAATAACATTGTATTCGAGTAACTATTCGAATAAATTCTTCGAATAAAATATTCGAATAACGAATATTCGAATAAATTCAAAAAATTGTGTTCCAACAACGATTCGAATAAATCCTTCGAATCAAATTTTATTCGGATAATATGTCGAGTCAATTCTACGTGTAAAATATGCCCACACATTGAACGGTACCATTATCTAAGACATTATCACTGCAACATGTCAATGAAAAATCACGGATCGACATTTCGTCCAAAATCTGAAAATCGAATGCTTTTTACAGCGACTATAGACCCATAATCTACTTAGTCTCCGCACACAAAGATTTCTAGTTTGCTGAGAAAACATCGCTCCGACTCCACTCGAGCTATCAAAACCTTGACCATTTCCATCGGCGCTTCCCCTACTTCGCCCATTTTCAACCCCCGCAGTCCGACGTCGATAAGTCTCGAAGACAGGGCGTCTAGACGCTTGGCGTCTCGGAAACCAGGTCACCGACGTGCTCTCCACCTGGAGCCCGCCGTCCGTCCGTCGATTCGAAGTTAGGTTCGCTGGAACGCTGAACGGAAACGTTCAACGAAACGTTTAACCGCGCGCAATTTCCATACCGTTACACCACCACCGAACGCTTGGCCATACATTCGACTGGCTATTACACCTCTCGATTCTAAGTTACAACTTACAGCGATTACAGCGAGCTATGATCCCGCCGGTGGACTCTTTGCTTGTGTTCTCCCCGGCTCCAGTTCTCGCTTGTGTTCTTAGGCGATTCGGCCGCAAATCAGACGCGTTACGAGCCCTCTACCTGGAAACGTTCGCCCTGGAACATGGCAATCGCGGCTGGGAATCGTACGCGTTCTCCCCTTGTTGCCTCGAGTTTCGCGGTGTCTCTAAATTTCATTCGATATCCAAGCTGTTAGGTTGTTTATGCGAGTTTAAAGCATCGAGCGTACCATTTCGACGGTGTTCCCGGCATTAGAGCCACGATTATTGCTCGCAATTTGTATGTATCTGGTTAGTCTGACAACTCGGCCGCGGATCTTTATGCAAATTCTCATTTTCATACTGTACCTCGCGAAAATTAGAATTAATCAAATGTCCGGTTCGTTAACTACAGGATCGTTTCAGGTAAAAGGATCATACAAATGCTGTTTGAGCTGATTGTTTTGCGGATTTCCTTGCAATTGAAAAGTCTGCCGTAAATGCAATCTGCTGACTACTCGGATGCAGATCTTTATGGTGGATGCACATTTTTAGAATACACGGAAATGCGATCGAATCTTAGTGCAAAAGAAAAATTCTCTTCGTCGGATGCTAGGAACAAGAGCTGA